TGGTCTCCCGGCCCGACTGACTGCTAGGCCTTTCCAGATTCTGCTCCGAAAAAGCTAAAAAGTTGCTAGGAAATATGCCAAAAAGTTGCTCAAAAGTTGCTCAAAATTGAAAAAGTTGCTCAAAAAGTTTGTAAAGTTGCTCGAATATTTTTAAGTCAGCATGTCTAATTTTAGTAACATTTGCTTTGTAGTCAACATTAAGGTACAACTAAGTAACTAGTTACAACAAAGTAGGCAACCTTTAGTTGAATCTAAGTGGCTAGTTCCAAAACTTAGACAGTAAGTGTAACAATCTACAATAGATAACTGTTGTTTTCGTACGTTTTCGCCCCCCCACGAGAAGGGAAAAGCCCTGGGAACGAAGATGAGGCTACCCAAACCGGTCACCCAAACCCAATTCTTGTAATTGATTACCACGTCCACATGATACTCATTCAAAGGGTAAAAATATGAGTTTTACTTAACCAAGAGGATTTAACTTGTTTATTTAAAAAAGGTGGGGGTTATTCAGCATTTTGGTTCAAAATAACCCAAAAGTTACCAAAAAAGTGCTAGTTTTCCGTTGCTAGGAGTTGCTCTCTGACAAAAAAGTTACTCAAAATCCTAAAAGTTGCTTAAAAGTTGCCGAGTACAATCTGGAATGGCCAACTGACTACCCCTGGGTCTCCGAGGATGCGTGAGCGTACATCCTCACATGCGCCCATAGAGCGTAAACAAAATGCCTTGAAGATCCTTGAACATAACCTTTGGGTCCTCGCAACGTTTGCTTTGGCAAAATCGTTGCAAAACATCTCTTGCTTCTATTACTTCCTACTGCACTTGTTGCAGGGACGAAAACGTTGTAATATGATGAACTTTAACCTTCATTCCAGACAAGGTTTATCCACAGGGTCCCCACATAATGTGTTTGTGTAACCGTAATTTTATGGTAAATGTTCCGTATTTACCGTTTGCTTCAAATATGTTCATTTATTGATTAAAGCTAAATAAACGTTGTGTTACGGCTTACCTGCGGTAAATCATCGTCCTTTTGCCTCAGAAGTGGCATAAACTCAAAATCCTTCAAGATCGCTCAAAATATATACCACTTTTGAGGCAAAAGGACGATAATTTACCGTAGGTTAGGTAACACAACGTTTATTTAGCATTCATCCAAAAATTGTTCATATTTAGACTGGGGGATGAAAGAACAGTAAATCAAGTACATTTACTTTAAAATAACGATACAATCGTTGTGGACAGATTTTGTGGGCTCCCTGTCGCTTACGGTAGTATTTTTGTATTTAGTAAAATCCAGCTAGTGGTCTGTTATCAATGCTGCGTTCTGATTGGTTGAGCTACTACTAGGCTATATGTTATAGCCCGCCAGTAGCGAAAAGCGCGGGCTTTTTGGCGGCAAAAAAGGGTTAAAGTCTAGCTTTAACTAGCTAAAACGTTTTTCTTTTCGATATTTTTGACCAACTAGTTGGATATTACTAAAACAATTCGGGCTCGAGGAATAATTGTTAAATATCGACCTTCCTGTGAGGAAGGCTATGGGTGTTATACTACGAAATTTTCCTTGAAACTTGTGTCGCGCGCTTCTAAAATAACAAGACAACTGAGTTAAAAGAAAAATTTCCATTGTAACAGGGCTTTGATGAGATGGGAGAGTGGGTTGGCCACCGGAAACAGATTTAAATCTGACGATTATATTTAAAAAATGGTTGAAAACCAGTCTTTGTCATTCTTTTTAAATTCAAACATTTAGTAGTGACGATCCTTTGAGAGACTACTGGTAACTAACTGACTCACTAAAAAAGTTACTTGACAAAAAAGACTTCCTAGCGCCATCTTATAAACACCAAAAATACAAATCAAAGGAAAAACTGGCCAACGGGCTTTAGAAGTAACTAGTCGTAACGAACTGACAGACCGACGAACTAAGTTATTGTCTGAGCTGAGGGGTGTCAGGGGTTAGTTTTAAAAGACATTGTGGTACTGCTTTGGTGGGGGAGTGAAGCACAAAAATCTGGTCAATGTAAAGTGCCTTTACTATCGAAAACATAAATTTAAAGCTGATCCTCAAAACGCTAGCTCGACTTAGTTTAACTCTGCTGTTAAAAAGAAATTTTGGTGTAACTTACTGACCGACTGATTGACTGACTGACTCACTGAAAAGACAAAGTCAACTTGTAGAACACAAAGATTGGTTTCTTTTATTTTACACTAACCACTTTACAAGTTGACAGATAAGACTGGGTTGTAGCAACCACTTTCAAGAGTATTAAATTATTAACGTAAAACGCAGTTATTGTTATTTTAGAACTGTGTAGAAGCCAAAGTAGCATCTGCTTTCGACTCGGCAACCACCTGTTTTAGAATAAGTATGTACAAAACCCACACTGAGATTAATTCACATTAAATTGCAAAACTATGGCTCATGAAGAAAGTGGAAGTATAAAAAAGCGTGTCACTATGCATGTTTCCAACGCGCGCAAGACAAATCAAAATGCGTTAGGAATACAAAGACAGTTAACTATAAGCTTGATAATTAACCAATACTGAGTACTTTTTACTACCAGTAACACAACAAACTAAACTAAATTCATAGTCACGTTATGGCGGGTAATTATGCGCCGGCACGAAAACCATATCGGATAGGGCTTCTGTTCACACATAACGGTGATAATAATAATAATAATAAATGTTATTTAGCCAGGGTTATCTCTTCAGCATAAAATGCTGCTATCAATGAGGGCCCTGGTGATGTTAGCGCGATTTCTGTAACGGAGAGAATCTGCGCCGCGTCGATCTCTAAAGCGGGAGATTCACATATCGGAGAGCTGTTCATACTATACCGGATAGCTGATCTCTAAAGCGAAGATTCACATATTGGAGAGGTGTTCATACTATACCGGATAGCTGATCTCTAAAGCGAAGATTCACATATTGGAGAGGTGTTCACACTATACAGGATAGCTGATGTCTAAAGCCAAGATTCACATATTGGAGAGGTGTTCACACTATACTGGATAGCTGATGTCTAAAGCCAAGATTCACATATTGGAGAGGTGTTTACACTATACTGGATAGCTGATCTCTAAAGCGAAGATTCACATATTGGAAAGGTGTTCACACTATACCGAATAGCTGATCTCTAAAGCGAAGATTCACATATTGGAGAGGTGTTCACACTATACTGGATAGCTGATCTCTAAAGTGGAGATTCACATATTGGAGAGGTGTTCACACTATACTGGATAGCTGATCTCTAAAGTGGAGATTCACATATTGGAGAGGTGTTCACACTATACTGGATAGCTGATCTCTAAAGTGGAGATTCACATATTGGAGAGGTGTTCACACTATACTGGATAGCTGATCTCTAAAGTGGAGATTCACATATTGGAGAGGTGTTCACACTATACTGGATAGCTGATCTCTAAAGTGGAGATTCACATATTGGAGAGGTGTTCACACTATACTGGATAGCTGATCTCTAAAGTGGAGATTCACATATTGGAGAGGTGTTCACACTATACTGGATAGCTGATCTCTAAAGTGGAGATTCACATATTGGAGAGGTGTTCACACTATACTGGATAGCTGATCTCTAAAGTGGAGATTCACATATTGGAGAGGTGTTCACACTATACTGGATAGCTGATCTCTAAAGTGGAGATTCACATATTGGAGAGGTGTTCACACTATACTGGATAGCTGATCTCTAAAGTGGAGATTCACATATTGGAGAGGTGTTCACACTATACTGGATAGCTGATCTCTAAAGTGGAGATTCACATATTGGAGAGGTGTTCACACTATACTGGATAGCTGATCTCTAAAGTGGAGATTCACATATTGGAGAGGTGTTCACACTATACTGGATAGCTGATCTCTAAAGTGGAGATTCACATATTGGAGAGGTGTTCACACTATACTGGATAGCTGATCACTAAAGTAGAGATTCACATATTGGAGAGGTGTTTACACTCTACTGGATAGCTGATCTCTAAAGTGGAGATTCACATATTGGAGAGGTGTTCACACTATGCTGGATAGCTGATCTCTAAAGTAGAGATTCACATATTGGAGAGGTGTTCACACTATACTGGATAGCTGATCTCTAAAGTGGAGATTCACATATTGGAGAGGTGTTCACACTATACTGGATAGTTGATCTCTAAAGTGAAGATTCACATATTGGAGAGGTGTTCACATTATATACTGGATAGCTGATCTCTAAAGTAGAGATTCACATATTGGAGAGGTGTTCACATTATACTGGATAGCTGATCTCTAAAGTGGAGATTCACATATCCGATAGGTGATCATACTATACAGGATAGCTTTTCGTAACGACAAAAGAAGCTATCCAGTATAGTGTCAACAAAGCCTAAGCAAAAGTAATCATTCTGCTCGCGTGCATCAAACCTTTTTGTACATTTCTTTGGCTTCACTTCACCACGACATGCATGTGAAACCTCATGATGCAAAATTTTGTAGAGAACGTACAAAATCAGGCGACGACAAAGTTTTGGCCCTCTTTCTTTCATTGTCCAAAAAACTTCATTTCCGAGGCGATACAATTATATTTGACAAGGTCAAAGGGTTGAAATAATGTCCATGAAGCTTGAAGGAACGTCAACTCACTTTTTGAGTTTAGTTTTCATTGCCGTCGCCGACGCATTGTTAACGCTATCTAATAAGTTAAGTGTTCACATTAGTTAATTAAAATAGGTAAGCTGACTTAGCTAAATTACTTTCTCGGCTTATACAGTAATGAACTTTGCGACAAATTGACTACCTAACTGAAAAAGGAAAAAATCGCGATCAACCTTAGAAATTAAACAGCTGAATTAAATTCTGATAAAAGTCATCAAAAACCACAGACACGCTAACAGCCAGCCCGGAGTAATTTAACCCTTATGGATAAATGCCATTAAAACAGCTATTTGAAGTATTAGTTTTACCGATAAGAGCGTGTAAGCGTCTCAGATCCACAAATGTCAGTTTCTTCAAAGTGGAAGAAGGCTAACATAATGAAGCTCATGCACGTGACCCAGCACAAGCCGGTTGTCACCAGTATCATCATACTCTGGGCAAATTATGACGTCATTGTGATGCGGCAGACTGCTGATCACGTAAATACATGTTTCAAAGCGGGTCGCCGCACCATGGAGAATCACGTGATCACCCCATGTACCATCTGTCACCATGCTTGTTAGGTAAGCATCCCAAGATGAATATCCATCAACAAATTGGAAAAGCTCTGTCCCATCTGGCTGCAAGACAAAACATAATAACGTTTTTAAAATAACTAAAACCAGCGCAAAAGTGCTGATTGTTCATTAAATTCTTGCTTTCTCATGTGAAGCCTATTAAAATGTGGTGCTGTTTGGGTACAGTATTAAAACACACATTTTAAGGTCGCATTTATACTAGCAACAAGCAGTCGTTAACCACGCCGGATAAAATGCGTCAAAGTAGCCTTTTTTTGCTCTTTATGTCAGAGGTGTTCAAAAAGTGTAGACACATCCAGAACAAAAAAAGTGTTGTGACGATGCTGTGACAAAATGTAAACACTTCATAACTGCTGTGGTGACGGGGAAAGGGTGGTTAAAATGGTCACAATATTGAACCACAACGGCGTCCAAACGAATGTCCTTAGAATGTTATGACTGTTTGAACAGAACTTTTCCTTTGAGAGGTAACAAAGTATAATTTAGTTACTGCTGTTATTTTACTTACCAGCGTAGAGTGCTCCATAAGATAATGGACCACAGTTTGCCGTATCTCTTCATGAGACATCCTCATTCCTTTTACGACATCAAGCTGCTCTGAAAGTGCGAAAAACATACAGTTGCCCCCGCCTTGATTGTCAGAAATCACAAAACCTTTCCCTTGAGCAGTCCTCTTTAAATTCAGCGACAGTTCAGTTTGGCTGGTCTCACTGCGTGCGTCTAACTGGATTTGCTGAAGTGCATGGAATGTCAAGTCACCTGTAAATAGCAAAAGTACAAAGTTATTCGCTGTGAAGAGGTGTGGTGCTTACAAATACCAGAGAGTGTCACTCAGGTTTAAAGCCACCTTATCACCTCTCTGATCCAACAACAATATCATGAAGAATCATTACCTTTCAATTACTTTGGTGTAAAGTAAAAATGGTTATCTTTTTATGCTGATTGGCCCCGAAGTATACTCTATTGTTACTTACTTTCGGAAAACTAACTCGATGGCAATCGTGACTACTGGCGCATCCGCAGTAGACAGCAAAATCAGGGTAAAAATAAAGTCACTCTTCTACAACAAAATCTAAACAAAAATAAACCAAAGAAATAAAATAATCTTGACATTGGAGTAACGCGTGTATTGTTCCAAACAGGAGACGAATTACAGTCGAAACCCACTTTACACACACCTCATTATTATGGGCGGTTTCCTCTGTCCCTAGGGAAAGCACTAACAGTGTCTCTAAATTCAACCCGGTAACAACGGACTAAAAACGAACACGTTTTACTTGTTCAACCAATGGATATTTACAGAAAGTTAACTTCACTAATACGACCACAATTCTACCAACTGTGTGTTGCAAACAGCACGCCAATGTTCACGGTGCTGCCTAGACGAAGCATCACAAAGTCTTGACGTCGATTGCCAACTATTTTGGCAAGAAATGAGTTCTCCCGAGTTATGAATAGATGCATAATGCACTATTTGTAGGCAAAATCGACAGAATAATAAGTATTTGTATCTTAGACCAATTCACATCGATGATGCCCGCTTTATGAAAGTCTAACTGTAAGTTGACTGACCCATAAGGACTGCAAGGTTATAAGGTGGATTGAGATATTTCTTCTGCTGCTGCTTGAGTCACTTGACCCTAAGCCTAAGGCTGCTACACGCTATTATAAAATCCCTTACAGAGGCCTTTTCTCTGCAGTTCCACAAACTACATTGAGTCATTTAGTGAATTATCATTGCACAGATCTTGACATCAACTTAGCTTTTTCCACTTTTAAAGTTGGGCAGTTTTTCAACGTGAAAGATTCCATCACTCAAGGCCTCCGATCTCGGGTAATTTATACGTTTCTTTGCGCTGGTTGTAATGCCAGTTACATTGGCGAAACTACTCGCCACTTCTTCACCCGCGTCCGTGAGCACCTTGTATCGGACAAGGCGTCTCATTTCTACAAACACATTGCTTCATCTCCAGCTTGCAGAGAGTCCTCAAAGATCAAGCAGTAACGTGGTTTAAATCCTATCTGTCGAATAGATCCCAGCGTATTGTAATCGGCAGTGCAAAGTCAGACAGTTTTGATCTGAAGTTTGGCGTGCCACAGGGCTCTTGTCTCGGCCCAATGTTGTTCCCCCTTAACACTAGTGAGCTTTTTGATGTCATTAGCCAGTACTTGCCTACGGCGCACAGTTATGCCGATGATACCGGTATCTATTTGGCATTCAATCCAAACGATGATTCCGATCAAGACGCCGCCATTGCAGCAATGGAAGCGTGCCTCTGTGACATCCGTAGCTGGATGATCAATGACAAACTCATGATCAATGATTCCGAGACTGAGTTTATGCTCATTGGGACGAAGGCGCAGCTACAGAAAACTAAAAGCGCCACTCTAACTATTGGCGAATCCATCATCTCTCCTAGCACGGAACCCCTTAGAAACTTAGGGGCCTGGTTTGACTGCCATTTCAACCTGAATTTTAACATAACCAAAACTTGTAGGAGTGCTTTTTTCATCTACACAATATTAGACGCGTCAGAAAATATCTAAGCATAGAATCTGCCGAGAAATTAGTGCACGCTTTCATCACAAGCAGATTGGACTATTGTAACTCACTTTTATACGGACTACCCCACTGCGCCCTCACTAAACTGCAGCGTGTTCAAAACGCAGCTGCAAGAGTTCTATATCTAGCACCACGGTTTTGCCATATCACACCAATATTATACGAATTACACTGATAATAGATAAGTTTGATTACTCACCGTATACCATATTCCACATCTTTTCAACAAGCAGCTGGCACTGTCTTTTCCAACTGAACATCTCTTCATAAACTTCTCGCAATCTTCGGGTTTCCTCCAGCCGTTGTATCCTAGGTTTTTGACGAACAGCATCAATTGCCTTTGCCCATTCCTTGGGGTCCTCAGAGTCGATCACAACTGACTTGCCCACAGTAAGACCACGCAGTGTTTCTCCAAATCCGGAGTTTCCACTAACCAGGATGGGAAGACCAGCTGACATCGCTTCTAGTGCTGTCAACCCAAATCCTTCAGTTCTTGAAGGCATGATGGCCACATCGACTTCGCAAAACAACTCTTTTAATCTTTCTTTGTTTTGTACAAAAGATCTGACAATCAGCTGATTCTTTGAAATGCCAGTCTGAAGTAAGTCTTCGGCGACTTCATCCTGTTTTCCATAAGAAGCACCAACAAACAGCAGACGATAAGTACTATCCTGCAGCTCAACAATGGCTTTAGCAGCAATGTCATATCCTTTGAGATTGAAGTCTTCAAAATCACCGCGGCCAAAGGTTAGCACTTTAAAAGTCGCTCTATCTTGTTTAGCATGTTGGGTCTTTGAAAACTCTGTAAAAGAACCTGGTATCAGCTGAAAGACATCTCGATGAAAAGAACACAGTTTGGATGAGAAAGCTTCCTTCAGCTTGGGTCCAACTGCCACAACAAGATCTGCAATTTGGCACAAGTCAACTTCAGCTCTGTTCTTTCCTTCCCCTATGGCAATGGCGTTAGCATAGTTCTTATGCATTGCCAGCTCTTCAGGTTCAGTGTGCACAACCTGCATCCACTTGCAACAATGAGACTTTCTGATAATTTGTGCTTGTCTACCGAGCTTTGCACCATGACCAACGACAACTTGAATGTCAAGGTCTTTTGGTGGAAAGCTCAACCAGTCAAGTGGATCACTGAAGCCTGGGAGACGCTGAACTTCCCTAATGGCAATTTTGTGCCCTCTGGCAGTTCTCTTGTCTTCTTCGCCACACTCAAATTCAGGTACAAGAAAAGTGACTTCTACGTTTGCATGTTTTGCCAAATGTATGGCAAGCGTTCTGTTTATTGTTGACAAGCCACCCTTAGCTGACCGCCACTCATTAGCCAGAAGAGCAACTTTCAAGATTGCACACCGCGGAATACTTTGTGCAGTATCAGGTGATGGAGTACACACTTCCTGTTCAGGAAACAAAACACGCATTTTAGAATAACAGTTCTATGTGGGTGCCTACAATTTACAATTTAATGCACGCACAAGATTAAGAATACTACAGGCACTGTACGATACACAAATTCATTGAAGAACAAAGTCGATGAGGCCAATTTCCATCTCTAGCAAGTTTCAAAGGCCGAAGTTTCAAAACTAACCGGCGGCGTGATTGAAGGGTTAGGGTGACATAGGTCAATCCCACTCTGACCGCTTGCTAGATTTGTTCTTGGCAGTCCCGAGTCAAAATCCTCGGTCATGCTTGTCTAATAGCCAACGGGTTTGCCTCCATCTATTTGGGTTTTCAACCATGTTATGTTTCTTTTAAATTACTTGTTTCATTATCCCTGAATAGCCCCACAAGGGGAGAGGATCAGTAATAATTATTATTCTTATTTGTCAGGTTAAGAGCTTCTAGTATCAGCATTTGAGTCCTTCTATGGTACCAATTGACCTTATAAAGTCAATAAATGTTACTTTATTTCTTCTAGTCATTTCTTCTCTCTCCTTTTTGCTACGGAGATTCATGTGCTAGACCACATAAGAGGTATACACTATGCATCATCCTTTAATGTGATAACTTACATGAAAAGATTTTGTTGGAGCTTGAAAGAATAGACAGACGACTACACATTTAATAACATAATACTTGAGGGTATCTAACTTCCCCTATAGCATAATTATCTTTTAGTTTATATAATTGAAGCGCTAACCTAACAGCATTATTTACTAGAGACTGAATTTTATTACCACCTACCTCACTTGCCACCTGTGAGAACCATTTTTCCTGTCCCCTAGCCGTAAGTAACCCCTCTGAAGGTTTCTTTTTGCAAATCAGTGGGTCACCTTGTTTTAACCCAAGGAGGTGAAGACAGTCTTCATGAGTACAACCCATCTGATTATGGCCTGAGCACTTTTCCAGCTGACAGTATGGGCAGGCCACCCGAATCTCGTACTGCACTCCATGCAGATACAGAAGATCATGTGACAAAGTTTGTAGAGTTGCCTCCACAAACTCCCGCACCTGCACCGCAACCTCACTTGTGTTCTCCACTGAAATCTTCTGACGCTGGGTTTTTTGCTTGATAAAAAACTTTATGAACTGCTTCTTACAAATGAGAACTAAATCATGGATAATGTTTCTCCCAATGACGAACCATGCTCCATTTTGATATAGGGTAGGGGGCTGAGTTGGACCAACCTCAGAACACCACCTGACGAGTCGAGAAACAAGCCGTGTAAACAGGCCATGGGGGACAAAACCAGTTAAAAAGTAGACATAGAGAGGACAAGGATCTGAGCTTGAGGGTACCATGGCACAAATGAAATCAGGTGGAATTTTGAGCTGGCATGGCACAAAATACTTTTCATCAGTTTTACAAGGTGAAAACTTTGCAATCAAATCAAAGTGTTCCATCAGGTCCAGAATGTCATCCTTTGCAACGCCATTCAAAAGAAACTTAGAAAATACATGATGAAGCAGTTCCATTCTGAGGACACCACTTTCTTTAACTTCCTGCCACAAATTGGAAACCTTGGGTTCCTAAGAAAGAGAATGTGGAGTAATTACGAGGAGTTCAAAAAGTTTCTGATAAAATGGGAGCCAACCTAGTTGAGAAAGCTGGTGGAACGGTTGGAAAACACTTACCGAATGTATTTCGGACCTTACCATTTTATGAAAAGGTGGAATAATGATGAGTTGCCTGAATAGGTCTATTAACCACTCAGTGCTCAGAATGACTGTGCTGCAGTGCTTGATGATTATCCCCAAGTCATGATAGAAATCCACCATGGTAGTGAACTCTTCCTCGTCATTTATAAAGCAGCTGTCCCTTGCATAGGTTTGAAGTCTCTTCAAGTTTAAGTAATAAACTTTTTTCGACAGCAAAGCACTGAGGACATTCTCGAAGTTCAGCCACCTAGGTTATAAAAAGATGTCATGTCAATGGGCAGGGTAGTTGAAGCGATTCATTTGCAGAAGAATGCACACAATCTAAAACAGAAGGATGAAGATCGCTACAGGAGGCTAAGCTGAGAAAATTCTTGCAGTCCTGTCTTCCCAGTCAGGCTTAATTTGCTCATTTCATTGCGAGGATAATATTTGCTTTCACGTCTTCATTACTAGGGACTTTAAGATAGTTTACTACGGTAGGCTGGGACGGTTGGATGCGTATACGGGCGGCCTGGGGCCATGACGGTAAGAAGCTGCGAAAATTTTCAATTTAAGATCGGACAACAAAACAGAGAGCGGTGAAGTCATATGCGAAACTCGCTTGTCATTTCTCTTTCAGAAGGCTCAATCACTGAAGAAGAGTTTCTTATTTTATACGAAGAATACCAATTAGAAGAATAAGGGTACAAATTAAAGCTAGCTAGTTTTCAAAACTGTAGTCGATGTTTTTATTTGAGCTTTCCTTTCCTAAGCCAACACCTTTTGAGTTAAAGAAATCTTTTCTTGATAAAAATACAGTTTTAAGTTATAAAAAAGACGGCTACAATCATCACTGTTAGGCCCAGTTGAAACGTTGAACTTCTTATGTGCCGAAACTAAAGCACAAATGACTAAAATTTATTTTCACTTGCTTAAAACATTCTAGACCATTGGACATCGTGAAAATGAATCGAGTTCGACTACACTTTAAGTTCGACGCCTGAATCAACCTCGACCCATTTGGGTCGACCTAAATAGGTATTAAGTTCGGTACATGAAAAGATCAACGTTTGAACTGGGCCTTACCTTTCTTTTCGGCAATTTTCCTCTGCCATGGTGGACGACACTAGGTGGAAAACAAGCAGTCGCCATGCGGCCGCGAGCTAAGTTATGAATGAACTCAGACATTTTCGCTTTTTTTCAGTTTTCATTTCACCGATAGGTAAATCAATGTAAACACAAGCCAACGGATATTTAACCCATTGGCTACTCAGTTTTAGAAGAAAAGTGACAATAAGTATGCATGAACTCTTATCGTTTTCACCGCTGTCTTCACGACAAGAAACCCGTCGAAAACATCGGCGTTGCTAAAACGAGGGTAAGGGTAACACAAAGGGTAAGGGTAAGGGTAAGGGTAAGGGTGGGGGTAAGGGTAAGGGTGACTGTTAAGAAGGCATATTGTCATTAATTCCCTGTCATTAAGCATCATCTGGCATATTATTGGAAAACGGTGCTCTTTAAAATGAAAGGCTGGTCCAGAGCTGATCTAATTTCAAGGTTTGGCTAACTTTCGCGTTTCTGTTGCAGTTAAGTATTTGCAACAACGTGACCGCAAATTAATTTTTTGCTCTTGAAAGGCTTGAATAAAGGCATGGATTAATAGTCTTCGATCGTTCTCTGTACACTAAAGGACTGTTTATTTGGGGATGTGGGACCCAGGGTTGGCGAGGTGATCCGCAAAAGGGTTAAAAAGCAAACCGCCTTTTCATGCAATCTTCGAACGTCCACAATCCCTCATGTTACAAAACATATGCCGACAATCTTTCAGATATGTTACATTTGGAGACGAGCAAACTGTACATCTAACACTCAGTTTCCCTTAAAAAAAGCAAATATATGGTCTTCAAACCGCGCCAAGTCCAAGACGTACGAATTGTAAAATTCAAAGAAATATAAAGTATAAAGAAGACAATTTTTGGGGGGAGAAATTTTGGATGAAAATCTAAATTGGAATTCCCACAACAATTCTCACCCCCACCCTTACCCTTACCCTCATCCCCGCCCTTACCCTTACCCTCACCCCCACCCTTACCCTTACCCTTACCCTTACCCTTACCCTTACCCTTACCCTTTGTGTTACCCTTACCCTCGTTTTAGCAACGCCGTCGAAAACATACCGTCCCAGAAGGACGACGGTAAAAGGTCACGCGTGTTTTGCGTGACGTGACATCTATCTAACCGTCCCAGGCGGCCGTAGTGACCTATCTTAAAGTCCCTGCTGTCCGTTTCGACTGGCTTTTAAACGTGTTTTTCGAGAGCGAAGGGATTTTTTGTTGTTTTCGTTTGTTCTCGGCCGGTATGTTAATGTATTAAAATGAGTTAAATAATTGATCTTTACTCAGAAGGCGGACATTGCAACGTGGTTTACAGAAGGGATCACAATTAAGAAAACAAAAATAACATAAATAGTATCAATAAAATTAGTATTAATAACTTACAAGAATAAATACTTTATCAAACTTTATTGAAGGTCTCTGAGTAGCTTTTTTAGCATTAATGAAATACAAATAAGGATAATTTTAAGAGAAAAAATGCAATATTTATATCATCAATAAAAAAACCACCATATAAGAAACCCAGTTATCCTATCCTCGAATTCGCACTTAAATTCTTGGGACATGTACATTTTCAACACTTTAGATGGCTGCTTAAGGATTTCCACAGTTAAGCTCCAATATAAGAGATCGTATAAGGAAAACAGCGCTGACCAGTTGATAGGAGGCATAGGGGTATATCTAGGGTGCTAGACGATTAATTTTGTCTGCCGTGGACGAGTAAACGTAACCTTAACTTATTTGCAAGGTAGTATGGGACACCACCGTTGGTATACTTAACACTGTGGTAAAAGCATAGTTTCGGCAAAGTCTAAGAACCTGTCATCCTTAGCAACCCCTACCCCTTCCTATGTACTGCTCAAACAAGGCAAACTTATATAACGACTGAAGAAAGGCTCCCAGGTGTATATGTACATGCACTGTAAATTCAATGCTGCCACAACTCAGTCCTTAAACTAGTAATAGTTGACACTACAGGTGCCCCCGCTCTGTATATTGTCGGTCAATAGTAGTCTTGCTCGTTGTGTACCTCTTTGAATTATACCGATTCATAATGAAGATTTTCACGCATATTCCATACAATAGGTGAGATAAATACAGGAAACAGTTCCATGCACAGTTTCAGTTAGATTTACACAGCTTTGATGAAAACATTCTCAGTTTCAAGAATGGTTTATTCTAAACCATAAGAAAAGATTTAATTAGAAGTTGAATTTTTCGCTAATTCTCTTTCACTTTTTACGTACAGTTCATTTTATTTGCCGGAAAGTAAGCCTTAGAAATTACGAGGACGTTTGATCAATTCACGCTCAAGCATTCTAGTCTTATTTTAAACTTTATAGCGGAAGGACATCTGTGAGCAGGGAATAAGTCAGCACAGAATTTGTTTGTCGGCGAATTTCTGTAATCGTTCATCGTTCGGCTAGTGATAAGCTAGCCGTTGTTCACTCGTCTTGCTTGTTTGGGGCTGAGTCTTATTCCGGTCAAAGAGAGAGAAAGAGTGTCTGGCAAGGTTAATTTCCAATCAAAGATTTGTGAACTCATGTCTGGCAAACTCTCCAAGTGTTTATATATACACACTTATACGCACCTTATAACTTCATCTGGGCTTAACGAGTGTCTTTTGGTCCATAACTTTCAAAACAACTGCTCCACCGAATGCCAATGAGAACACGTAACGCAAAAGAGTATCGAAGTATGACTGCACAATAAATGTCACAAAATCTACCTAAGCGGTCCCTTGGGGATGTTCTGTCTTTACGTAATTTTAACCATTTCGTATTTGTGGGCGCAAACAATAGAAACGTCATCATTACCTACCGATTCCTTGCGGCCCCTGTTCAAGCAAATCGATATTTTTTCTGGCATACTGACTGTATATTTCAGCTGTAAGCACTTTCCTTAATATACGCGCGAGTTACTAGAGTACCTCCTCGGGATTTCGCCTTCTGGGCGAAATCCCTGCGGGGGCAAATAGGCGAAAATTTTATTCACATTATTTACCTCGTAGGTATCCTCTCCCCCATGTAAGGCTCCTGTCTCAACACTTCCATGATTTTGTCTTTTAGCTCTTGGATGCTATCAATGTTTTTATCTTTTCTGAAAATCTTTTTCAACCTTCTCGGAATTAATTTTGCAGTGTTCTCAATGCTGAAGACAGGCCGCACTACATGCCCTTCATATTTCCTACCAGCAATTCCATCCTGAATTTTTGACTTCATTGTTGCAATGTCTTCAAATGGTTTGTCTGCATGGGTACCTACAATGATCACCGGTGGGCGCAAATGAGGCAGCGTTCCTCCTGCATCATCACAGGTTTCTCCTCTCATCTGTGTGATGCTATGCACGGTGGACAACCACGACAGCAGATTCTCCAAATTTGTTTCCCCATTTGGGTTGTCCAATGTGAAGTTATGATTTCCTTGTCTAACACAGGGTTGGACAGTCTCATGCAATGATTTGCTGAGGTTGCACACTAAGATATATATTGCACGTGATGTTAAAAATACAGGATGAGATGCATAGTACAGCTGTTGTCCAGCAAAATCCCACAGTTCAACGCTACTAACGGATTTTTCGGTGACAGCTTCACCTTCACCTTTCACATACTTTATCCACTCCTTAGCGTGTTTTGTGATCTCGTCTGGAGGTAAAGTAGTATCAATTATTAACTCATGCTCAGGCTCTGAAGATGACAATTCACTGACACTAGGCACTTTTTGATAAGGGACCTGTAACAGGGAACCAGAAAAAGAGAAAGAACTATAACTGTTCCTGGTAAATTCTAAAAGACAATAATATTATTTATCTAAAACAAGACCGACCAACTCAAACATAGAAGCTTCATCATTGGGTATGTGAACATCAACCAGTAGAGTATTGTAGACTGCAAGCATTCCCTCTTTTACTCGAAAATCTGTGGGGACACGCGATATGCAAGTATGCGAGCGGCGAAGCCACGAGCAGCGGGTTGGTCGGGTGCCTAGTCATGCTGCTCACAGTCTGAGAGTATTGAAGAATGTAAACCCGTTTGATGCTTGGTAAGGAAATTTTATACATAAAAGAGTACAAAAGGTGTCTTGTCTTTTTGCTTCTTGTAAATAAGTAGTAAGTTTGCCTTGTTTATCTGATGATGGAGATATATTTGCATTCGAAAAGTTCCTTAGAATAAAAGTAGCTGAATAGTATATTGCGGTTTCATAAAGCTCAGTGTCAAACAACTTTTCCAAAAGATGTTATTTTATCTTAAATTCACGACTTTTTCTACACTTTTTCTCAAAAAATATATTCCTTTTTTCAGAGTCAAATTTTAATACCAAAAAACCGATCGACTGCAAACGACGGAATTAAGAAAAAACACTGCGGAGAGATGCGGCTTTGGTGAGCGGAGTCACTGGTTTCATGTGCAAGGAAGCCCGATTCATGTAATTAATAATATACGGTTTCAAAAATATTCCGATTTGTTTGAACAGGGCTTTAAATGTTGTTTCCAAATGATTTTTTTAAAACTTTGACATTGAGTTATGATAACATGAAAATGCTTTATATTAAGTCCAATACAATTGCAAGAATTTCACTGGAGACAAACCTGGTTCAAAAATGAATCGTCACTCTTTTCACCATCAGTATCACCAGCCTTTTTCCCATTCTTATAATTTTCATTTTCAAGCTGTTCACTGTCGTGTTTTTCTGCACCTTTTTCCTCCTCCTGAACCCAGTTATAGCGATCTAAGTTACAAAGCTCTTCTACCACCATCTGTGCCACATCTTTAGAACAGCCCAAAAACCCTCGCTCACTCTCATCAATGGGTTGCCAGTTCTTAACTTCGTGAGCATCCACTTGAAAGATTGACGGATCCACTTCAATTCCGTCAGTACTATTTTCTTTAGGATCAAATGGTAGACCAATGAGAGATTTTTTCAAACTTGTTTTTCCTGCCCGATCCTGACCAATAAGCAATATCCGAGCTCGTTGAACATTAACAGCTCCATATCTAAGAGCACGTCGATAAAAAACTGCGCTCTTTCTCCTCGTGCTTCTATTTCCTTGGGAACTACAAAGAATACAAAATGTTAAAATCATGTCAAACATGGCCCGTGTAAACGTGTTGTTTTACTTGCCACGTCAGTCTTTGTTTATAACAACCAACTGGTAACCTGCACATCATAGAGACAGTTTCACAACACACTAATCCCTGCATGGGCAAAAACAACTACAACTCTGCATGTTTTTTTTTTCTTTCACATAATAGAATGCGTTAGTCTTGAGGGGATTTTTATCGACAGTAATATTGCTAAAAGGATTTGGGGTTGTCGATAAAAAATAACCAGTAACTCCTACCCTAACGTTCAAGAACATAATTAAAGAAAACTTACTATATAAGGTAATGAAGTCAAAGCTTTATCTAACTTGCACAATTTTATTTGTATTAAGAACATGATTTTTATAAGCATTACAACAAATCTTTCTAGTTCTTTCATTTATCTGTCATTGATTACAATTAGTAAGCAACATTAAAAGGCATAACTTGTAGAGTTTCGATAAAGGGATTTCAAAAGATTTTTTTTAAGTATCAAAAGACTGGAAGTTATTCTTGGTTTGGATTTTCAGTCAAATAAGATACTTTTGTCTCCCGATAGTGAATGGTAAAAATTTCACCTCGGCATTTGTAATTTATAATCTGTGAAACATTGTGATGCCTGTAAGTACTCAGGCGTAGTTTTGGATAACAGTCTTTCCTTTAAGTTACATATTGACTATGTGAAGAAGAAAGGTTTAAAACACTGGGGATGTTCTCAACAATTAGATCATCATTAACAACTGAAGCATCGAACCGATTGTATAAATCTAGGATACTACCAAATTTGGAATACTGTTGTGCTGTTTTTCATGGCTGTGCTAAAGGAAATGAAGAAGAATTGGAACGCAAGCAGAGACGTGCTGCTAGGATAGTATTAAAAACAGTGTATTTGTCCACTGAAGATATGGCTTCCGATCTTGGTTGGGAACCTCTTAAGACGAGAAGAGAGAAACATATCGTCAAGCTTGTCAAGAATTGTCTTGATGGACAAGCTCCAAGTTAATATTCATGAATATTAAACTAGGTCTAAAGACAAGATATGCATTGATAAAGTCAATCTCGAGTTGACTAAGAGAGCCTTTTTTTTATAAGGGGCTACCCTTTTCAATGATTGTATGCAGTTTTGTTCATAAGGAGGCTACCTTTTTTATTGATTATATGTAATTTATCCCAGTTTCGTTTACAGTTTTTTTTAAATTAAGTTTTTATTTATTTATTCATTTATTTTTTATATTGGACCCATATTGAGAGCAGTTTTAATAACTGAAATGTTCATACTTCTTTCTTCTAAACTATCTGGGCCCAGTTGCTCGAAGCATGGTTAGCGTTAACCAGCGTTTAATACCTTGACAACGTATTGGTTTTGATACTGCGTGACCAATGGTTAAAGCTAACCATGCTTTGAGCAACTCAGCCCTGATTTACAATTTTAAAACAAAGTCAAAAACTAGAAACAGAATTATCTATTACATTCATACCACTCTTTGAAAAATACACTACTTTCTTATACATTCTGCACATCAAAACATACACAACACATATTTATTGATAGGGTAGATAATGTCCACCATAGGGAGATTGAGAAGCCATTCTTTGGCTGGAATGGTTAGCGAAATGAAAACGTTGCGCTTCTGGTTTCGATGTGTCTTTGATGTTTCTTTTAACATCAGTAGGGTGTGGACCCGATCCAACAGTTTTGAGTCTACAGTACACTGTAATTACCTGGTCCACGGTCAGATGAGTCTGCAATAAGCGGTTGGGTCGCGTGGACGCTTGAGTCGAGTCGCGCGCGTGGAGGAAGGTCACGTGTTCAAGAATCGCGCGTGGATCTTGATATAGTCGGAGTTAGGGTTCGTGTGATAGTCAGACTTTGGGTTCGGGTTCGTGTTATAGTCGGAGTAGAGTCGGAAAAAGAGGGTTGTCGGTGCATCCTCACGTTATGTCTTCGGTAAATCATTTAAGGTAAGAACGAGTTTATTTTTGTAAACAAACGGTATTTTTGTAAACAAACGGTAAACGGGAGACATGTGGGGGGGGGATTTCTGTCCCCTCATGCGAACATCTATGAAAGCACGCATGCGCATTACGATAGAACGATATGTATCTGCATTTTATTAATAAACGAGAGTCAAGTGTCACATGTGCGAGTAGAATTTCTGCCCCCTCATGCAAACAGTTACGAGAGCACGCATTTGCATTACTATAGAAAATTTTACACTTGCCATTATATTAGTGGATGAGAGTCAAGTCACACACATGTGCGAGTACAATGTCTGTCCCTCATGCGAACATTTACGAGAGTACGCATGCGCACTATGATGGAAAGATATGTACCTGCATTATATTTAAAAACGAGACCCAAGTCATATTTATAAGGGCGTGCACATTGAAACATCTTGTTAAAAAAACGTACCCAAAACGTTTTTTTACAAAGTTGCAAACGTGGTGGAAGTAAGATTGGATAGTAAGCATGCGCCTTTCAACATCTTGTCAAAACACGTACCAGAGAGGATTTTCTACAAAGTTGCGAACTTTTAGGATTAAGATTGGATAGTACGCATACGCATTTCAACATCTTGTCAAAACACCTTCCCTTTTACAATTCGTACGTAAAATAACGCAAATTCTGCGCGAACGATTTTAAGAAATCACCTCGGCTTTACAATATCGGCTATTAAATTATGCTTCATGCAACGTTAAGGTTGATAGCGTAACATTTATTTCCTTCCAAGAAAATTATCAAACTGGCGAAATATATTTCTACTCATATCATGTTATTCCACCCAATAAAACAATGTGTAATCATTTTGTCAACTATTTTCTTTCCATCTAATTCCCTGACGTTACTGTTTCTACTTAAATTACGCATCTTTCCTAAATGAAATACGTTTCAATAAGTATGATGACTCTTAAGCAGCAAGTGTGCTTCATGTTGTTCACCTAATTCATGTTTTTATTTTCTTGCTGGTACAAAAAAGGTCTGTTGAACATTGTAAGCGAGAGAATAAAGGTTGTTTACAGGATTAACAATACTCGCCTTGCCTTTCAAACCTCTAAAACCACAATTTATAGGCCGCATACTCCAGAATTAAAGTCCATATCTAAATTTCAATTATTGTTTCATTGGAGGAACTTTGAAAAATATATGATCTTTTACACTCTTTCTTAAAGCATGTGAAACGGAACTCATAAATTATGAAATACGTGCGTTGTACCGTCTGCGATAGCCGAATTAGGTCAGAAATGTCCTAAGCAGCACCCACACTAAAATATGGACCCTTAAAGAGCTCCATCACTGTACTCAGCGTTTGAATTATAAAGATATTTCAATTTTATGCTTCTAAACACCTTTCGCCGTAATAAAAGACGAAAAAAATCGCGAAGAATCAAGATGGTGGTCTCAAAGCGCTGTTGTTTGATCTTAAGCCGAGTGAATGTCATGTTAGATGCCCAAATCTCACTGGTTCCTACGGTCAGCACTCGTTAACATTCCTCGAAACGCCCTTTCTCCCCTTATGATTTTTACACAAGGTAGAACTGTTTTCTGCTTTTATATCACACTTAGACGATATTTCAAGCTGGAAATCATTTTTGAAAGTGCACGTCTCTTCAATTTAAAAGAAAAAAAAATTGATATGAAGGGCAAGAGGATTCGAACCCATGACCCAAATTGCCACTACACCACACTAACCATCCACTAACGGATGGTAGGGAAATAATTAAAGCATCAACCCCAACACAACAAAAAAACCTAACCAGTTTCGAAACAGTGCCTAACCCTAATCAGCAAAGGAAGTGCTTAACCCTAATCAGTAAAGGCGGTGCTTAACCCAAACCTGTAAAACGCAGTGCGTAACCCTAATCTGTAAAAGGCAGTGCTTAACCCTGATCCAAAACGAACACACAAAGCCACAAAGCCACAGAGATACATACGCTCAACCACTGACATATGATTTTTTTTCAAAATAGCTCAAAAACGTTTTGGGTACGTTTTTTTTGGAAGGAATGTTTCAATGTGCATGAGGGGACAGAAAATTCACTCCCTTATATACGACCTGGGTTTTGTTTGTAGATAACATGCAGGCACATATCTTTCCATCATAGTCGTCACGCACACTCTCGTAAATGTTGGCAGGAGTGGACAGACACTGTTCTCCCACATGTGTCGACTTATGTTTAGTTTATGAATACAATGTAGGTAAATATCTTTCCATTTAAGTGCGCATGCGTGCTTTCGTAAATGTTCGCATGAGTGGACAGAAATTCCACTCCCACATGTATGCGACTTGACTCTCATCTACTAATACAATGGCAATACAATGGCGTGCTCTCGTAAATGTTCGCATGAGAGGGCAGAACTTCTACTACAACGTGAGTGAAACTCGACTCTCTATACCAAATGCAGGTATACATCGTTCTATCATAATGCGCATGCGTGCTCTCATAAATGTTCGCATAAGGGGACAGAAATTCCACTCCCACATGTCTCCCGTCTACCATTCCTCTTAGGCGTGAGGATATACCACCAATCTTCTTTCTCCGACTCTACTCCGTGTATAACACGAACCCTAACTCAACATACCTAACATATATGATCCAATGTAAAAAACAATAGATGCGTGAAACTAAACCCACACTTCGTGAATGCTTCAAAGAACATAGACAGGCAACAAACAATCTACTCCGCGCAAACGCCACAGCAGTAGTCCCTTCCCACTTTAATCAACCTGGCCACTCGATCGCAGACATGGAACTTATTGCGCTGGAATTACAACCCACCCTCAGGATGTCACGCGGTAAGGAAAGAGAAGCGTACCTCATAGATAGAGGAAAAACCCTGTCACCAGACGGTCTGAACCAAAAGAAATGAACATTGAATTGTTTCTATTTCTATTTTTATCGTATAATCATTTACCTGTATATTATTCTATCTAGTATTAATAATTGTAGTTTATTATTAACGACTTATGTAAATTTTAAATTCAAATTTTAGGAGCTGTACAACATATTTTCGCTCAGTAAAGCTCTGGCCCTGAGGAAGGCAAATTTTGTTAACCGAAATATTAACCTATAATAAATCACCCCTTTGCCGTAGTGCCAGCCCTGCATTCAGTTTTGTTTTATTCTAACTCCGACTATAGCCCGAACCCCGACTATAGCCCAAACCCTAACTCCGACTAAAGCCCGAACCCTAACCCTAACTCCAACTATAACACGACCCACGTGCGATTCTTGATCAAGTGATCTATTCTCGTCCCCAGAGCCTCCTGGGGACCTGAGCACGAGGACCAGGAGTCCTAGATTTTGACACTGCCGGTCATTTTCGATACAAAAGTAAGTTGGAGGATTCTCTCTTAAAAGCTTTGAATCACCTACATTTACAGTCATTGACACTTTGGGAAGAGCAAGTGAACACTATTACAAACGTTGTAAAAAATCAGAAATGACCGGAAGCTCTAAAATCTAGGACTTCAAAATCCTGTGTCCCCAGAGCCTCCTGGTCCTCGTGCTCAGGCTCCCAGGAGACTCTGGGGAGGAGAATGCACGTGACCTTCCTCCACGCGCACGCGACTCGGGTCCAGAGTCCACGCGATCTAGCTGCTGACTACAGGTTCAACTGACTGCTGACCAGGCTCAAAACTTTGGGGACGGGCCCACACCCTACTAACATCTGAAAAATGTTCGACTAATTTTCGGCCTGACGTTACTGGATGTTCATGGGAAAAGGACATGTTTTACACCATACACGTGCGCATTGGAAGGTTCCATAATGGTTATCGGATCTTACATTTCCAACTACAAAGTTGACGATGATTCTGGCCTAATGATTCTTACAGTTACCTGTTATATTCATCTTCTCACTCGCAGCTAGTAAAAAACTCAATCTCATAATCTCAATTTCTCAATTAGCCAAGGTCAACACCGTGCCAGTCATCACTGGAGGGAACGAGAGAATTCTAATCACCCTCACTTTTCACCCACACAACCAACTAAGAGAATATTTTCACAACCACCACTAATTTAATTTCAGCACGACAAAAACAACAGCAACCTTTTAGTTACTAGCAGAAGCGCTCCATGCCCTGTAGAACCTTCAACTGCGCGCGTACGCGATGGAAAACCTGTTCTTTCATCCTCAACGCAGACAAAACTTTGCGACCGAAACGGTCTTTCAAGACCACTCACCGTTTCACATGCACATCCGCTAATGTCAAATTACATCACCTGCATGCTATGTAAAAAGCGAGCGAGTCATGCGAAAAATCAAAAAAGCAGTAATACGGAAAAAATAACTGAAAGCTAACCATTGTAATTAACTATTTAACCCTTACAAGCGCTTAACCCCAATCCGTAAAATGAGTGCTTAACCCTAGTCAGTAAAATGAGACCTTAATCCTAATCAAGCTACAACACTCGTCACAAATCGTTGAAACAGAAGCCGTTTCCCTTGAATTTTCTCCAAATGTCTTACATTTACTCTTCATACCTTTGTTTTCACTCGAATGTGTCCCTCTCCTTCCCCAATGTTGAGCCACGCGTATTTTGAAGCACTGAGACGACTGTAATACCCAAATCAACATAGGGAAAGACCGAAACGCACACAAGTGTTTCAAGATTTGTGACGAGTATTGTAGCTCATTCTCTCTTGTCCTAATCAATGAAAGTCGCCCTAAACTGAGTAATTCTGCAAATATTCTGGCAGCAAAACCTCACATACCCATGAGGAACTAACCAGAAAACACTGTTTTTCACGTATTTAGAATTTAATAAAACTTTAGATATTTTTCCATGGCTCGTACGAGTCGCATACTCGCTGGCACGCAGATTGTCCGGCCCCGCCCAAACACTAGCTGATCGTTTCCGTAAACATCTTTGAGATGTTGAGAGAAATGAGAGAGTCACATGGAAACCAGTACCATGCCGATTTCATGTCGCTAATTTTTCCAGCAAAAACAAAGCAATCTGCGAATTTTTCTTTCTTTCAACACGGAAAGCAGCCAAATCCTTTAGATCGGTACTATTAATCCCCACAGAATCAAAAAACGCTTTTCATTTACCTATAAATGGATGTTTGTTTTTAATGGTACAGTGTAGACAGTGTACCATGTTCCCTCCAATAACATTGTTCCAACCCCCGGTATATAAACCACACATAGCCCACAATTCCATCAACAGCTTCATTATCTTCATGCGGTGGCCAGTCCATACCCTATTAACTTACCTGATAAATCCAATCTTGAATCCCCAATCGATTGCAACGCCACAGTTTCTTTACAAACTAACCCCTTCATTTATCTGTAATATAATAATGATTTAATTTAACATAAATTACCCCTTTATTTGTACTCACCTGCAATATCAGAGTGAACTCCTTTTTTCTCCAACTTCAGAGCACATCTTATTGCATCAACAGTTAAAGGATTACCTCTGACGCCCAGCTTCCTCAGCTGTCCTAGGTGACCAATCTCAGCAGGTAATTCAGTAAGCTTGTTTCTATCCAAGTACAGCTCTCTAAGCCAGTTCAGCTTTTGAATACTGGTAGGTAAACCAACCAAATGGTTGTTGCTCACACTCAGCTGCCACAGCTCCTTTAGGTCACCAATCTCGTCAGGTAATTCAGTAAGCTCGTTTCCATCCAAGTACAGCTGTGAAAGCCCGTTCAGCTTTTGAATACTGGTAGGTAAACCAACTAATTTGTTGTTACTCACACTCAGCTGCCACAGCTCCTTTAGGTCACCAACCTCAGCAGGTAATTCAGTAAGTTTGTTTCCATCCAAGTACAGCTCTCTAAGGCTGTTCAGCTTTTGAATACTTGTAGGTAAACTAGCCAACTGGTTCCACCTCACACTCAGCTTCCACAGCTCCCTCAGATCACCAAATTCAGCAGGTAATTCACTAAGTTTGTTTCCATCCAGGTACAACTCTGAAAGCCCGTTCAGCTTTTGAATACTTGTAGGTAAACCAACCAACTGGTTGTTACTTACACTCAGCTGCCACAGTTCCTTTAGGTCACCGATCTCAGCAGGTAATTCAGTAAGTTTGTTTCCATCCAAGTACAGCTCTCTAAGCCAGTTCAGCTTTTGAATACTGGTAGGTAAACCAACCAACTGGTTGTTACTCACACTCAGCTGCCACAGCTCCTTTAGGTCACCAATCTCAGCAGGTAACGCAGTAAGTTTGTTTCCATCCAAGTACAGCTCTCTTAGCCTGTTCAGCTTTTGAATACTAGAGGGTAAACCAACCAACTGGTTGTTAGTCACACTCAGAAACCACAGCTCCTTTAGGTCACCAATCTCAGCAGGTAATTCAGTAAGTTTGTTTCCATCCAAGTACAGCACTTTAAGCCTGTTCAGCTTTTGAATACTGGTAGGTAAACCAACCAACTTGTTCCACCTCACACTCAGCTTCCACAGCTCCTTTAGGTTGCCAATCTCAGCAGGTAATTCTGTAAGATTGTTTATATCCAAGTCCAGCACTTTAAGCCTGTATAGCTTTTGAATACTGGTAGGTAAACCAACCAACTGGTTGTTACTCACACTCAGCTCCAACAGCTCGTTTACGTCACCAATCTCAGCAGGTAATTCTGCAAGATTGTTTCCATCCACGTACAGCCATCGAAGCCTGTTCAGCTCTTGAATACTTGTTGGCAACTCAGTCAGATTATTGTCATCAAGCCTAAGTTTCTGCACTTCACTCAGTTTAGTGACTGCATCAGGTACCCTGGATAGTCCTTTTCCACTCAGATACAAAGTTGCTATTCCATAGTTATATTTCATGTAAGCGTCTTTCAACTTTGTACTGGAATATTCCTCCATGTGTAAAACAATTAAAGCAGACTTGTCCTTCTTAATCTATAACTAAAATAATAAAAACATGCACTATTAGTAAAATTAACATTATCTCAAAAACATGTGGGTTAATTTTATAGTGCAAAAAATAAAGAAAATCTAATGCTATTAATTTGCTGTTAGTTTTTAAATAACCTTTGCATGACAACTAATCATATTATACTCATTACACAAGGTACCTATACCTAAGGTAATAAGGCCTGCATTTTTTCACGGTGATCAGTCAAAAAATAGGGAAAATTAACTGGCGAAGGTTATCATGGGAAACAATGTAACAGTGCTAACAATCAATTTCAAGCAAGTACATGTATAAACATATAGTAAGTGATATAAACTTCTGGAATCTTACCAGAGAACTGGAATTATGATTAACACTTTAAGAAAAATCACTTTCAAATTCAAGGCAGTCAAGTTGTGTAGTGACTTCTAATCGGCATCTGCACTTTTTTCCTCTGTTTGTTAAGTGTTATAAGTGCTGAAGGTTGCTTCGTTGGCCACAGGCAAAGTTAAACCTTTTACAGGTATGGTTCTGGGACTATTGTAATTTCTTGCCAACAAGATTAAGCACACAAACTGACGTTACGAAAATCAAATTACCATAAGATGAAATTTTAAAAATGGCAGTTATTTGAAATTATGCAAATTTAAGTGTTATTTTAATTGAATGTGTACATAGTAAAAGTGACAGATTCGAGTTTGCATTTTCCCACATTGTGATTTTCAATGTTTAATACTACCAACGATTAAAAAATATTTATTACTAGTATATATTAACTCAAACATAACATAATGCAATTACGTCAATAGATAGAAATAGCAAATTAATTTGGCAACATCAATTCTAGAATTATCGTAAGTCAAAACAGCGCACGTTTCCTACAATATGATTTGTGGACTTGACCATATCTCACAAACACAAGTTATTATTTTTTTAAAATAACGGAACATAATATCCTATTTTAACCTTTTTTAAAAGCCCCGAGAACAATCAGTATCAAATTCCTCCTAGTAATAGCAACGCTTTAAATAGCATGAAGAGTAAAAAATGGGACACAGCAGGTATTGAACCCAGTCCCTTCTCCGGCTACGAAGGTTACGTATTACTGCGCGTACAAGAACAATATAAATGACCTTACTATATCATTCATTCATTCTTATGCAGATGATCGCATAGAGTGCATTACTGGTCATAAGCCAGTAAGTTCAAAACGTGATGGTGAATCTTAAGCCTAGACTGAATATATTAAATGAGAAAGATGTTTTTTTTTTCAGTCAGTGACACAGGCAGCTCTGAAGAAAAAATAAAAGTAATCCCAACAAGAGTGGAACCTTAAATGACCTTATGGCTACCACTGAACTAATATTTTGCTGTGAAAGGTTTGAAAAAAGGAGTCATTTCAAAAGGTTGAGTTTGACCGTCCGGGTGAACGTAGTCCTGAATAGGACTGTTGTTGTTGACAGTGACTGACGTTTCGACAACCTGTGCGGTAGTCATCTTCAGAGTTGTATCACGTCAGTTGATGGTATTATACTCTGGTTATTGATCTAACTGGTCAATTATGTCGCGATGTTATTGGTCGTCTGTCAGTTAAGCCGTGATGTTATTGGCTATGAAGACTCGTAATCAGTGATTGGAGCGTTTCGATCCGTCTATGGTCACAGTTAAACAGTCGTCTATTGTTAGTCAAATTGTCAGTTCTCCAGTTGTTCTCTCGTAGTTAGTTTTGCTTGATCTCCTCAATAAGTCGTTTGTACGGCGCTGGTAACTGTTGGCTACGATTCAGTGGCGTTTGTTCTAAGTTAGTAAACCAGCTTTCTAAAGTAAGACGTTGATAGTAGTCTGTAGAATACGTTATACTGCATTAGTGCTAAAAAATATTCCGGTGGCATAACTATAATTTTCAGGCGACATAACTTCAGTGCCTCGCATGCGATAGCAGGCCTCTTTGCGATTCCGGTCAACAGCCGACAGCCGGAGGAATTGGTTTACACTGATCTCGCGTTAATTCCAGGCTAGACCACCATTAAGTCGTGATTTTCAAATGGCCACGGTTACTATCAAATTCCAAAACAGTCTCAATTGGTATATTTGATTCACTTCGACCAGTTATCAATGCTGATTAAATCCGCTGAAAACCCAAGCCATTTTTATCATCTGAGCGGTTTTAGTAATCAAGCGTCTTCAGCGTGTCTTACCCAAATTGCACGCTAACCGTGCTATAATTCGCACACTTACCGTGACATATGGCACGCTACAAAAAAACAAAAGGTCTAGCGTGTTAAATTTGCCAAAACAAAGGCAAGTGTGTCCGTCTTTGTTTTTTCAATTTAACATGCGCATATCCGTGATCTACGGCACGCTAAGCGTGTCGTGCAAGCGTGTCGTGCGCGTGCTTTCACCTTTAGCATCAAATTCCTGTGGAGGGTCACATATAGTTATCTAAAGCATAATTCTATTCTTTCTGAATTTCAGTCACGATTTCGCCCTCTTCACTCGACTGTCTCGGCTTTCATACAAATGTGCGACACTGGCTTGAAGTTATGGACAATGGAAAATTGACAGCTAGGGAGGTAGTTTTTCTTGACATTCGAAAGGCCTTTGATTCAATTGATCATTCGATTTTACTAGAGAAAGTTGAATATTATAGAGTCACTGATAGGGAACTGATATGGTTAAGTCCTATCTTATGGCCCGACAACAACAATGTTTCGTAAATGGACATGTATCGTCTCAAAGAAACTTACTCTGTGGATCGGAAGTTCCACAAGGGTCTATTCTTGGCCTTCTGCTATTCGTCATTTATATCAATGACTTACGAAACTGCTTAGAATTTACTACCCCCTGTTTATATGCTGACGATACCCAAATCGTTGCCTCTAATACTGACGCAAATGTTCTTCCTAATAATATCAATTCTCATCTAGAAAACCTTTCTGATTGGCTCACAGTTAACAGGCTCTAATTCCACCCTGTCAAAACTAAGTTAATGCTCATTAGGTTGAAATATAAATTAAACAATAAATCTAAAGATTTACCTGGTGCAATATCCATTGACAATAATATTGTTTCGCATGTAACCTCTATTAAGTAGATGTTTGGGAGTATTATTAGATGGAAAACTTACTCTTGAGATTCACACTGAGTAAAGGTGTGTGCTGGTATAGGAGCTCTAACAAGAATTAAACCTTTTGTATGGCTTTGCACCCTACCTGGTAACCTTATACAATTCACTTGTACAACCCTGCTTTGATTACTGTTTCCCCTTGTGGGATACTTGTGGAAAGCAACTGAAAGATAAATTGCAAAAAATTCAACACTTTGCGGGTAGGGTCATTACCGGTTCTTCATATGACATTAGATCGGTAGATGTGCTTGATAATTTGAAAAGGAAAAACCTCAAAACCAGCTGCTCACATATAAAGGCTATACCCTAAATATGTACAAAATCCTCAATGAACAATCTGCCCCTCATTTGAGAGCATCCTTTAAAAAACTCAACGATACTAACATCAATTATAATCTTAGGAATCTTGAACTGCCCTAGCGCTTCCAAGGTCAAAGACTAATAGGCCACTTTTGCACTAAGAGGTCACGTGACCAATACTTCCTTTAAACAATGAGTTGGAATCTTGCTGATGCTAAAAATTGACAGAGCACATAAAAATTATCTTACACCCGAAATTTGAGAGGAAACGCATTTAAGGGAGATATTTTATGGCACTTTGATTTTTCAACAAAGTAGTATGATTTGTATTGGCCGCCATGTTGGAGGGCATCCTCTTGCCCTCCAAAATGGCGGCCAAAACTACTTTTTGCTTATATCTTGTCAAACGTTTGATGCTGAGATGTGCTGTAAACGTTACCACATCATCTTTTCAACATTTTCCTTCAAGTTTAAGTGCAAAATTTGTGTTCAGAAAAAGGGTAATTCATAAAAATCACATTTTGGTCACGTGACCAGCTACAAACTTACTCATTTTAAGAAAATGGTGCGGGTTTGAAAAACCAAATCACTATTATTTTGTTTAAGACATGATCACCCACTAATCGTTTTTCGAAGGCAAAATCATATAACCTTCATTTTCATAAAAATGAATTCTTAGTGCAAATTGCCTTAATTTCCTCAAGTGTAGCTTTATTAGTGCAGTGGTGCAAGGTGCTCGTACGAGGCAAAAACAGTGCAATCACTTTCCGAATTTAAAAAGCAAATTTGCCTCTATATTGCCTTCTGCTGGATCGCTCTGATTCATTAATTCGTACGTGTGTATATTTTGAACTTAAGTATTTCTCTTCAAAACTCCCACCAACATAATTACGTTGTTAAACTAACATTACACACATACATACACTTTATTGAGCATCCCTAAAAAGGGCTTTTCAGCATCAATATNTTGACAGAGCACATAAAAATTATCTTACACCCGAAATTTGAGAGGAAACGCATTTAAGGGAGATATTTTATGGCACTTTGATTTTTCAACAAAGTAGTATGATTTGTATTGGCCGCCATGTTGGAGGGCATCCTCTTGCCCTCCAAAATGGCGGCCAAAACTACTTTTTGCTTATATCTTGTCAAACGTTTGATGCTGAGATGTGCTGTAAACGTTACCACATCATCTTTTCAACATTTTCCTTCAAGTTTAAGTGCAAAATTTGTGTTCAGAAAAAGGGTAATTCATAAAAATCACATTTTGGTCACGTGACCAGCTACAAACTTACTCATTTTAAGAAAATGGTGCGGGTTTGAAAAACCAAATCACTATTATTTTGTTTAAGACATGATCACCCA